CACCAACACCACAGTCCATACTGTGATCTAGATTCCATGAAGGACATGTCTTGCCTTCACTTCAAACCTACATTGGTCTCGTGAATTTTTTATTGTTGAGACAAGGTGTTCAACTGTCTCAAAAGTGTGGAAGGGGGTCATAACAGGTTAATACGTGTAGGATTTTTGCTGATTCACTCGGAGTCAATAAAAGAAGGTCTATATTCATTGACAGGTGAATGGAGACAATGTAATGTCTAAATATTTGTGTTTTTGTAAACTGACAAAACTGTCGAAACTGATAACATATCGGGTAGCCCGTCCCGGTTTTCATTGCAACAAACACTACACATTTGACCCCAAAAGGTGCACAATAAACTTTCTTTTGATGGTCAGTATTAAAAGCTCGTTCACAGAAAAAATTATCTAGTAACATGTTCATTTCGATATTCCACCATTTTAATTTTACTAACTAATGTGTTTCTATCAGGACTTCTGATTGGGTGATGAAAATGAGCTCAAGTGAATTCTATAATCGCTTCAGGACGTACGACATACAATGAATTGTGGTGAAATCTAACAAAGGTTGATGTTGAGGCTATGGCTGAATAAATGGTCCTTGGCTGGCGAAGATGGTCGGAAACAAACACACTTATACGCGTCTGGGACAACCGACACGCAATAAAAGGTGAAACTAATATGGTAATTTCAACTTGGCCACCTGACTTTAATTTTAAAAATGACACCACTGTTTACCCTTTCACTTAAACTTTCGGGTTACCATGGAAGCTAACAAAACTTGTTTATTACCCGATGCACACCAAGCAGTAATTAATGGTATAATAACACGTACGCTAAATTTAGCAGCGTTTGACGACGATATAAAATCAGTACTATTCAATGTATATATCTGACATTTTAAAGGAGCCCACTTGCGAAATACTCATCACAACTGAATCAATAAAAGATACAATATGCTCAAACAATCATTTTTACGATGACCTTAAAGTGGTAGCAAACCAATTGAAAAACTATCGTTTCAACCAACACCTCACTAAGTCACAAAAAGCGCATATCATGAAAGGGATTAATACAATAGAGAAATATATATGTACCAGTGCCAGTTTATTAAAACAAATGTAACTATGGCAACATTAATAATCAGTAATATTCAGTAATATCGCTAATAACCATTATGGTCATGGCCATCATTATTTAAGAATGCAACAAATCCTGATATTATCTTCACAAACATGTACTTTTTTAAATGTCCAAGTGTTTATCACATTCTCAATGAAACCATTTTTAACAACCCCGTTTTCCGTGAACTGCTCGTTTTTTTAAAACCAACGATAATAATCAGTGATTTAATTGACGGTGAAATGAAAGCATGGCTGTCAAATGCGGATTAACACAGTGTTTTTGAATTTAACAGGCGTGACATTTTCAATCTTCGTTTTTTTTTAATGGCGCGTCGCTTTGATGGCAGGCTTTATTACAGGTGTTCACTATGTGATGGCGCAGTTTCATCCAGCATATTTTCCTTGACTGCTCCACTGTAACTGACCTGTTGCTTTTTCATTCGACCAATTCGAACAGTAACAGTAGTCCAAGTTGCCTTCATAGCGGTATTGTATAATACCGCCTCCCAAATCATACAGATATCTATCCTGTCAAGTATAGTACATTCTCTGTTTACAAGTGCGGCTGTTGTTATGGGTGACAGTCAGATCTGAAATAGAACTTTACACAAAAAGCTGAAGGTAAACTTTAATCTTGATCTCGCTTTTTACCACACATGCCCAATAAAAGGCGCACGTTAATTGTTCTGCTTCAGTTGTTTAACCAGTCGTTTCCCACCTATCACCTGACACTGTTAATTACATTCATGTTTACGTGTGAACGTTTTATGGCATGAACGGCATCGGATTTCTTTGAAAACTTTTTATCTCAATTTGAATGATTAGTTCTTGACTAGAAGCCAAGATTCAGTTATGATTTGTGTTACAGTGTTAAATACGTAATCCATGTCATCCAGTTGTTTGAATTGAAAGCCATTAAAC